GAATACATTAACGGAATAATCTTCTGAACACGCAAACTAACCCCCGCAAACTGAACCCATTTGGCTTGTTAAGCTTATACATCGCAACACTTCCAAAATCAATTTGCGCCTGTTTAACAGAGCTCAAGAGGTGCGGCCGACGAGCGATTCTCGTCTTCCAAAAAAGAAAATAAAAAAAGTACCCCCCCCCGAAAAAAAGAGACCCCCGCCATTAAAAAAAAAGCAGAAGCGAGAGAAAAAAGGAGTTGTTATAAATGTGCGGCGCTTGCAGCCATGCTGACCTCGGAGCGCTAAACAAAACCAACAACGGACGAGCAGACACCCACTCAAAAGTCAATAGCATGCGCGCCTCCTCTTGCTCTCGTATGGTTAATGCATGATGCCAGGTAGGGGAGACAGACGGAGAGTAGGATCTCATTATACGCTGCGTGCTATCATTAGCCGTCTACCACATGTGTCCATCCCGCCAACAACAGGCAACATCCTAATGCTCTCGCTTCCAGTAGGCGGGAAGGAGAGGGGGGGGGGGGGCTGTTGGTCCGCACGCACACATACGATCACAAGGCACAAGGAAAGCAACACAACCCCCCGTCCCCCCCCCTCTGCAGGCCGTGGAATTGGAATGCAATTTTTGAGTTTTTTTCTCAAAGTTCTTTCTCTAATGGGAGGATTTTTCTTTTTTTTTTCTCTGCCTGACGTGATCCCGAACTCTTCGGTTAGGCCGGGCGCAACAAGGCCGACTCTGTGCTCCGTGGATCTGTTCGGGATCGTTAGGCTAAAGCCGAGACGAGTGGTCGATCAGAAGTCTTCATTTCAGCGATCGACCAATACGTTCATCAAGCGCCGCAGAGTCAGATCCGGGCTTCTCGAGGTCCGCTGCTCCTCCACGCTTTGGACGATCGGGTACTACGGACGACCTTTGGGTCCTTACTGCTAGTCGGACAGAGCTCAATACGTCCCCTTGATTCAAGGCGTCGCCAAGAGGGACGCAAATCAGACCAGAGCCGAGGACGGTACGGCTGACAGATCCCTTCAGGCATTCGTCAGGCAAAAATAGCGGGAGAAATGGTGATGATCTGGCCGGTCAAATGGGAACATTTGCCGCTTAATGTCGCTAACAATAGCTTTGGCGACACAAAACGAGACGTTTCAAGACGTCACGTTGGCCTTTACAGAGCTTTGATTGGTATTTTTTGTCCACTTTTTCTTTTTTTTTTGTCAGTACACCGACAGAAGAAAGAGACAGAATTGTTGATAATCAATAACGCCTGTAAAATTACCGACAATAGCCGCGGCGAAAGCTGCGTAGCAACGGCGGTGTTTGTTTCGCGTCCGTCTCCCAGAGGCTGCGGGCGGCTTTGGGACGCTGTGCCACACGCCCAGCCACTCAACATCCTTTGTGTCCATCGCCTGGCAGCTCGCCAAGCCTCAGAGCGCGCGCACACACGCACACACACACACGCACACACACACAAACACACGGCTCTCCCTCGCCTCTACGAGGGATTGTTCATTTGACGCTCACGCACACCTTTACCGCCTCGCGGACAGGGGGAAAAAAAAAAAGGCTCTCGTCGGCGTCCTCCACCGCCGGGGCCAAATGAGCGGCGAGCTCCTCCGCATATCAATGCACAATTTAACTTAAGACTTCCACGGCAATAACCTAATTAGAGACGCTGCCTTCTTATTTGACGGGACAATGTAAAGGATAAGCCGCACGCCGCCATGTCTGTTGAGGTCTAATGGCGCGGAATATCCCAAAGTGGAAGTTAGAGGGTTTTTTTTTTTTTTAATAAGTCCTTAGCATATTTAACGCTTCCACATGCTGAATGTTTTAATATCTGCCGGAGAATCCGAGCCATGGGTGGTGGAGATTGCCGGTAAAGAGTAAAGGAAGGTGAACGGGGGTCTGCTTAAAATTCAGGAGAGGGGGCAGCGGATTGCAAAGAAGGTACAGGAGAGGGAGAGGAGAATAAAAAAAATCTGCAGCTTTGATTTGATTAAAACGTATGAAAAAGCGACGCATTACATAAACCGGAGAAACTTCAAACATTCGGGTGGATTCCGAGTTCAAACAGAGTGAGATAATGCTTTTAATGCTGGAATTAACATGGAAATGAATTTAGCTTGAGAGTCTGTCTCTCTCTCAAAAAAACGTGAGGGCAAAAAGTCTGGAGATTTGGCGTAAAACGGATCTCAGATCCGTTCCGGCTGCAGCGGTTCGGGCCGTTTTCGGGGGGGGGGCGGGGGGGGGGGGGGGGGGGTGTTCGTCTTTTTAAAAAACTTTCATCGCGTTTCAGCAGACAAACTTTCCCAATTCACCCGTTGAGAGACACCAAACACCCGACACGAGCATTCTCCCTGATCCAGGAATGACTTCATTCAGTCCGTCAGTGGTCTGGACCCCCCCGCACCCCCCCCCCCCCCCCTATCTGTAGATAATAACCTGTCATCAATGGGAGGAAGACGGGAGGAGTGTAATTTGTGTGTGAGGGTGCTTTTGAGAAAAGAAACAACTGTCAGTCACAGCGACACTAAACCCCCAAATCCCTGTTTGATGCAGCCAATGTACCAACGGGGGGGGGGACGGGGGGGACGGGGGGACTTGTGGCCGTCCGGAGAAACCTTTTTTCCGTGGGGCAAGCGGTGCCACAGCTGCCCCCCTCCCTCTCCAGAAGGAGGAGCTTGGAACCCGGAGGGGGAGGTGGGGAGGGCGGGAGGGGGGGGGAGGCAGTCAGCAAGCTTGCGCGTGGGGGGTGTTCGTGGGGGGGGGGGATGCACAAAGACTCACGCTCTCCGGTTGGCTGACACGCCGCCCGGACAGCGCTGCCTTCTGGGACGGATGGAGCGACGAGAGGAGGAGGAGGAGATAAGTGGACAAAGAGTGAAGTGGATGAGGGAGCGAAGAAGACAAGAGGGGCTTGACGCACTGTCGAGCAAACGTGGGGGGAAAGAAGAAGAAGGGGGGAGGGGGGGGGGGGGGGGAGAAGAGAGTGAAACAGACAGGCAGGTCCGAGAGGGATTTGTTCTATTTGCATGTGCCGGGGCTCCCATGGGGGGTCCCGGGCTCCGGCTTCTGCACAAAAGATAACACTTAACATATTTGCTGGAAGATGACAAGCCGGGCTGGATCTCTCGTTTGAGGAGGGGGCCCCTTTGTCAGGCGGAGGAGGGCCGCTGACGTGGACGCAGCGGAGGCGAACACATGCCTCTGAGTGTGTGAGTGTGTGTGCGTGTGTGTGTGCGTCCGTGTGTTTAAAAAAAAGGCACAATACCCCCCCACGTCCCCCTTTTTCATCTGGCCACACTTTTAATGGTAAACATTACAGGCTTCATAAGAAGTGTCGGTGTCATTTATTTGCGCGGCCCCACTGGGGGGGGGGGGGGGGGGGGGGGGGTCGCTCGGCCACCCTCGTCTCTCTCTCTGTTCATTTTAAAAGGGGGGGGGGGGGCATGTTTAGATAAATAAAGGGTTGCCTGTTTGTAGAGCACTTTCTTCCATTGCTATTATCTCTCCTCTCTCTGTCCCTATTAGCTGTATCTGGGGGGGTTGGTGGGGGGGGGGGCGATACGTTATGTGTATAATGAGGGGGATTATTGCTGCTGTCATCGCAACACGGGCGCACGCGGCGGATGCAGAGGGACAGATCTTAAGCCGGGAGACTGTAAGCAAACAAATAAGACTTTAGAGGAATAAACAGGCCGCTGAGTCGCTACATTATTTACATTACACACACACACACACACACACACACACACGCACACACACACATTTGAAAACTCAAGCACCGCATCGCCCCCCCCCCATATGTTCCTCTATAGGATGATAACAGCAAACAACTGAATCCCTCCGACGAAGAGCCACGTTCACACGGCGGAGAGCAGTCCAACGTCAGCCGTTTGTGCACCAACTGCGATGAAGGAAATGGTGTGTTTGAGGCATGAACAGGTGCACACCTGTGTGTGTGTGTGTGTGTGTGTGTGTGCGTGTGTGTGTGAGGTCCAAGCGGACGCATTAACATTGTCGTTAAAGTGAAAGTTTGACAGCGCAGACACACACAAACGCCACGGGCAGTCGCCACGAACGCACACACACACACACACACAAGGAGGAAACGGGACGTGATGTGGAGTGTGTGACTGTGTGTGTGTGTGTGTGTGTGTGTGAAAGTTCAAAGGGGAAAGGTTGAGTCCTTACTAATAACTGCTACAAAAACAATTGTGTGCAATTGTGGAAGCTCGACCCCCCGATTATTTACACAACGATCCGTCACATCCGGCTATTTATTTTTTTCTTCTCTTTTTCAACAATCCACTATTGTCCTTTTGTGAACATAAGACACATTTACAGCACTCGTACATCTCAAATGAATCTTCTTTTTGAATGATTGTTTTTTTATAAATCTGAAATTTCAACGATTACGATGTCATATTTTTCCCAGCCTGATATTGTTTATTCCTATTGTTGTTGTTGGTGACACCTTCACGGCAATGAAGTGTGTACACAACATGCTCTATAAAATGCAGTGTGACACAGACTGTGAATGAATAACTTTTAAGAGATGAGTGAGTTCCATTCCATAACTAGTAAGTTTTAATACCCAAAATCCAGACGTCTCAAAAATGATAATCTCACTCTTCTGCAGGTGTGACTATCGGAAAAAAAAAGTTTGACAACTATAGTCGCCGGCGGTAACGCGTGGAATAAATAATCAAATGAAGCCAGGTGATGACATTTTAAATGTAGACCAGATATATTAACAAGGTGAAGTATTGAGGCTGTGTGAATAATATTAAATATAGAATAAATGTCATTTTAGAGAGACCCTTTAAAAAAAGAATAAAGCTGACAGCGTAAATATGCAAACACAATGATATCAGCACCAGTCAAATACATTCGTAAAGTAAATACTAAAAATAGTAGAAAACACATCCATCCATCACACGGTAGTATAGTACACGACAGTAACACTACGAAGTGTAACGTAAAACGCACGTACCATAGACGCTGCTGCTGCTGATCATCTCGTGCTGGAAGAGGAGACGAGAGCATCGGAATTAAAATTTGTGAAGAAACAAAAAAAAGAAAAACACCAAAAATCCCCTTTAACCAAGAAACAGAAACATGACAAACACTGATAATTATTCTTTTTCTTTCTCGGTCTCGTTTCTATTTCTTCGCTGCTCGTGTTTCCAGCCGCGCGCGACGTGGGCCCTTCTAGAACTGGCGCGAGCGACTCGGCAGCGGAGAGGCGTCTAACCTACATGCATCTCATTAGGGGGGGGGGGGCAGAGGAGCGGGGGGGGGGGGGGGGGGGCAGAGGAGTGAGGGGGGGGGATCAACCGGTGCACCTCACCGCTTGTTTGGAGTTCAATCAGCTGATTACGCCCTAAAACGTCTCAGGAACGCGCGCGCTGCGGCGATTCTGCACCCGCAACTTGTTGTAAACCCTCCGCGTGAGCGCAAGTTGTATTTCTTATTCTCTTTTTTGGGGGGGGGGGGGCATAGGGGGAGTAGGGGGGGGGGGGGGGGTACCGCGCTGCACACACACAGGAACAAGCGACCTACGCTGCGGGATTTGCGATCATTCAAACGCCGCGGCGCGTTGGAGGTTTAAGAAAGAAGAAAAGCGGTCGTTTCCTCTCCTCCCTCCTCCCTCCTCTCTCCTCGCCTCCTTACCTTACCCTGGCGACAGGTCGACACTTCACGCCGGAGAGGGGGGGGGGGG